ATTCGGTCTTATTCAATTATGCTGTCTATGATTTCTTGAAGCACACAGCATACTTCTCTAAATTCTTGAAGCACGAAGCACGTCTCTAAGATCTCTTTGAAGCACGAAGCACTTATCTGAGATTTCTTTGAAGCACAAAGCTCTTTTCTTGAAGATCTGAATAATCTGATCTACTTGTTGAAGCACTATTGCTACTTTCTGATTTGTTAAAGCACAAAGCAATATTTGATTCTTAATTTGTTGCAACACAATTGTTGAAGCACAAGGCAAATATGACTTTTTCTGTTCCAAAAATTGACGGTCTCTTAGGAGTCATTACTATTCGACTCAATGATGATAATTTTGTGAAATGGAATTATCAATTGCAATCTGTCCTTCAAGGCTATGATCTATATGGTCACTTTGATGGCACCTCTGTGTGTCCACCTAAATATGTTGTTACTGAATCTGAGGGAGTAACTACTGAGATTTCTGAGGACTATCGACATTGGCTTCAACTGGATAAGGCTTTGCTTAGAAGGGTATTCGTCGCGCAAAAATGATTTTAGTCGCACATAATTATGCGCGACAGAAGTTTCGTCGCGCACAGTCCGTCGCGCAAAGTTCGTGAAGAAAGGATTTGAGCGACGAACAAATGTCATTCGTCGCGCACTTTTGCTCGACGTATAACAACTTCGTTAAAAAAAACATTTCGGGACGACCCAAATTTCCGTCGCACAAATATTTGCGCGATGAAATAGTTGTCGTCGCAAAAACAATGAGCGACGGACTCTTCCGTCATGCGAGATACATGAAGTTTGCGCGACGAAATAGTATTCGTCGCGCACGTAGGCCTTGCATGACGGAGATAATTCATCGCGCATACAAATTTCGCGCGACGAATGCATACAATTTTTTTTTATAATTAAAATGAAATTACAATAAAAAGATTAATCGCAAAGAAAACATTTATTATATAAAATAAAAGAAATGTATATAAGAGAAATATTGTAAAAGTAATTATAAAAATAAAAAACTAATCAAATAATGTTCCAAAATCTACTTGGTCATCTGCCACATGCGGCTCAGAGGTATGGGCGTCTGCAGGGGCCGTGGTGTGCTGGGTATGCTCGGGCTGGACGGGCTTGGAGGTCGACGCACCAAAATTCGGGATTGGAATCCCGGACCGCGCGAGGGACTGCAGAATCATCGACATCTGACCCTCAAGCTCGGCAACCCGCGATGTCAAAACAGTCACCTGACTGTTTGCCTGCGACGATGACC